ATGGCATGAGTCGGTTGCTCCTGGATGTAATATCTGTGTGCTGGGCAGTGAGCCACATGCAATGTTAGGCAAGATCTACAGCAGAATGATTTGGCTGCAAACCTGCCAGTGCTGCAAAGTGTGTGATACTGAAAAACCATAAAGACACAGAGTGTTTGTCATCATGAGACCTACATTCTGCAGGAACTCTTGGGCTATCAACACAAGATCTGTGAGTGGTTTAGTCCGTCCAGCTCCCTGTTTTAAAAAGGCAGAAACTGAGTCACAAAGAGCAATGAGGTTTTCTTAATGGAATTGGAATGATTTTTTTTAATTTGCTTATGGTTTATTTTTTTGTTCCCTACTCTCCTTGACTGCTGAGCCATTTCTGGTTCACCTTTTGCTGCTGACCAATTCTTTCCTCCAGTTAACACTCAGAAACCCTTACATACATTTTTCTTTCTTCCTTGACTTCTTTAAATCCCAGTAACTACTGTCTCTTTTCTTCCTTCCAGCTCTTGACTCTGAGTAGTTTTTAATTGGACTCTTGTTAACAGCTTCATTGTTTCCCTGTATCCATACACAGAGCACAGCTGCATGCTCTCCCTCTCAACTGCAGGAGAAGAAATCAAAAAATAAAGTCCCCCTGAGAGAGCCCAGCCTGCGTCTTCCATAACAAGCTGTAGCAACTTTTACAAAATGACTGCCTCTGTGGGCAGACAGCTGAGCTCTCTGAGACAAATCTGGGGCTTGGAGTGCACAGGCATAATAATTACCAATAATACATCACAAGCCCCTCTCTTGGCATTAGTTAGGCCATTCCTAAATCACAAGGTGCAGTCTCTCTCTCACTACTGACTCTCTGCGTACAAAAACTTTTGCTTTCTGTCATTCTCTCTCTGAACACTGCAATCTTTCTCCCTTAAATTGTAAATGATAACACCTGCTGGGGCTCTTATTTGTTCATTTCTGTATCTCCGGCTGCTCCCTGTGTGAGATATTACGCCCACACAGAGGTATGAAATACACAGTAGCTACTTGTGAAACTTCTATCTGAAAGATGCAATGAGTATAAATCATGGTATTGTTCCAACGTTCTTCATCTTGTCTCTGACAGAACATGCTCAAGAAACTCCAGGAACACTCTAAAGCTGACACAGAAGTCATTCACAGTGCATCAGTGTAGCTGAAAACAAATGTGCAGGACTGCTCTGGACATCCTATTTTCTTTTCCCCACTAGCATTTATTCATTCTTCAAGTCATACCATATTCATATTTACTTTAATGATTCATAAACATCCCAGGTTCCAGAAGCTTCTAATTAACTCATCTATTTAGCGTCATTAACAGATGCTCAGGGAGTGATTTATTGTACAATACTGGATCACACCAACATACAAATCCAGCCAATTGAATTGGCAGGCAGTCTAGATAAATGTCTTCTGCTGCTGGTAGATGAGACTCTGTTCTAAATTCAGCATTAATGCCCTGCAGACTGTGGCTGACATATTATTTTTTTCTTCTATCACTCTGCACATGTAGCATACATAGTATTCTACAACACTGGTTATTTCCCTCTCTTTTAAAAGAAAGATTTGGTGAGGTACTGCCTAGGATTTGGGGTATATATTTATACTGAGAAAAGAGGAAATCAATAGCCCCCAAGAAATTTTTGTTCATGCTTGTTTTAATTTACCTCTGGCTTTCTGTAGTTTCAAAACTGAAACCAGTCCCTCTGACACCCTACAGCAAAATGATCCTAAACTTCATCTGAAAAGCTATATTGGGAACCCTGTCTATACTAGAGTTGTGGTCACAACTCCAGACCATTTATTGATAAATAAGGCAGTGGTTTTTTGGGCAGAACGTGGAGTGAACACCTAGAACAGCAAAGTTAGCTCTACAGGTACTTCCACAATGGTGTTTCCCATAGGCCTAGGGATGCTTCCAGTGACTTGCACCACAGAATTACTCGAGAGACTTGTCATGGTTTATAGCCCGGGCCAACTAAACCTCACCAACCCGTGGCAGGCAGAGGTAGCACATCCTGAGAGCATCCACATGGCCGGTTTGCCGGCAGCAGTGCTGGTGGCGTGTGCTCCGAGCAGAGCCCAGCCCGGGCAGAGCCAGCCTGTCCAGCTGGGCTCAGGCTTACAGGCAGCTCCAAGTGTTGCTGATTTAATGGTATAAATACAGCCAGTCAGTTTGGCCGGGATGAGCTTTCTTTTTTTTCATATTTCAAAATGGTAACAAAACATGGTCTGATTGCTTGTTGCCTGGTCAGGAGCTCTCTCCCAAAGCTGACAGACAAGTTATTTACCTTGCTGGAGGAGAGCTGCAGCTATGCAGACAAATTTTACAGCTTTTCTCTTAAGAGCTCACTCCCTTCACATTCCAGTTCTTCCCAATGGCAACACCATGACTCAGTTTAACAAAATGCCAAGGAAACATAGATAAATATTGTTTTAAATTCCTTAAGGTGGGAGTCATTAGATGACTGTTAAAATACTCTTTTTTTTTGCAGGAATTAGGTTTTTATCTGTCTATAAGTCTTCAAAAAAAAGTGGATTTAAGCTTTAACTACACTGAAAGGGACTACTGCAAATAATTAGGGTGTTTTCCTCTCTATTTTTAAAAACAATATTTTTAGTAAAGTTACTGAGTTTTAATATACTTTTGACTCCGAATGAGATTTTGATGCTGAACCATCTCTGCTGTCTGCTCCCAAGCTTTACTTACAGCAGTGATGTCTATGGGTCAGTTTGGGGAGGGGGAAGAAATACAAGCAATATTTACAGTAGAATGAGAAGTAAAACTACATTAACATGGGACTGTGCCTGAATGAGTGCAGGTGAAAGGGATATGACAGCTTGAAAAAGGCAATATACATTAAACAAATATGCTGCATTAAGACATTTTTAGGAGTTACTAAATTTCGCCTCAGGACTCACTTTGGCAATCAATGTAGGAACAATACCATGATAAGCATGACTGTTTTAAACTTCAAATAAGTTTTCATCTTGACTACAGCACCATTCCTTGCTGCTTCTGTCTCTCACCGTCCATTCCCAAGATGCATGTGGTCTGATATGGAACAGTAAAGGCACAGTCCACTCCTAACAGCCATGTCGGGAGGAACAGCTTGGACTGGGGCTGCAGCAGCAGTGTCCTGTGCACCTTCCTGTGCTGGCCAGAGGGATACTCTGCAGATTCTAGGGAATGATCCTGCAGTTTTTGCTAAGACTGGCTAACTCATCACTCAAGCTAGTTTCTCAAACTCCGTGAAACAGCTTTCCATACGATTTGCAAGGCCAACAGTACAGTTGTGTACTCCAGACATTCAAGAACCTGCGCAGACAACGCATAGAAAAACTACCTTGCAAACACATGATACAGAGGCTGAAGAATTGTTTAGGGCACATGGCTTAAACTCACACAGATGAAGAAACAGAAAGCTTTTTTTTTAAGGACTACATCTTGGTTAAGAAGAAGTGCACTGAGAAAAATTTAAAATCTGGGCAGTGACGACTGGGAACACCGTGAAAGCACACCTATGCCATAGCATGTGCTACACTGCATACCCCTCTATTATATCATCTCAGTCACTCACTTCTGACTTAATGCCACCAGACACGTAAGAAGGTATAGGAAGCAATAGCTACTAGAGAAAATTGAGTACTTGAAACAGATTTGTAAACTCCTTCTTTGTGCTGCTTTAGGCTGGGATACAGTTAGTTTGTTTCACAGTAGCTGTGTTTTTGGATTTGTGCTGAAAACAGTGTCAGGACGTTTTTGTTGCCATTGAGAAGCGCTTACACAGGGTCAAGGCCTTTTCTGCCTCTCACCCCACCAGCAAGTAGGTTGGGAGTGCACAAGGAGTTTGGAGGCGACAAAGCTGGACAGCTGATCCCAGTTGACCCAAGGGATATTCCAGACCATACAGCATCATGCTCAGCATATAAAGCCAGGGAAGAAGGTGGAAGGGGAGGACATTCAGAGTGACAGTGTTTGTCTTCCCAGGTCGCCATTACATGTGATGGAGCCCTGCTTTCCTGGGGACGGCTGAACTTGCCTGCCCATGGGAAATTGTGAACAAAGTCCTTGTTTTGCCTTGCTTTGTGTGTGGTTTTTGCTTTCCCTATTAAACTGTCTTTATCACAACTCACAAGTTCTCTTACTTTTACTCTCCTGATTCTCTCCACCTCCACGTAGGAGGAGTTCAGTAAACGGCCGTGGGGGGCTGAGCTGCTTGCTGGGGTTAAACCACAACTCTCCTCCAACTCAATTCTGTTCTGTTCATAACCTTAAAGAACAGTGAAACAGGCAGCAGGGCCTGAGTCCCATCACCGTCAGCTGCCCTGTATTCCAGGACTCCTGCACAGCTGTGCTGTACTATGACAGCATTAGGTGTTGGCCAGTGCTTTGATTCAGCATTTTCAAATTGTATTCTTCCTATTCAAAAATTAAAAATAAACTACAGATGAAATAGACATATCAGAGATGCCATTATATTGCCAGGAATATCAACACAATTGCACCTCTGGGATCTTCTTCATAAATGAAGATCAAGAACAACAGACATATCAGTCCACATGGCATTTACACGGTAATTCAGTCTGGATGGGACTTCTGAGGGCATCTGGTCACTTTGTAAAAGAGTTAACTTTTGTATTCAAACAATAAGGATAAATAAGCCATTGTATTATTTTAGGTCAATTTCATATTCTCTAACAGACTAATTGTCAAAACTAGTCTTAACAAGAATAGCAACTCTGATTTAGAAAGAAGTCTAATATCCCACCAAAATCCATATGGAAGCCAAGAGGCACTTCTAAAAAATTGCTACATATCATGTGAATTCTAACAGGAACCAAGATGCTGGAGAGAATAATGAAACATGAGGGTTCCTAAATATTTTGTCACAAACCCAATTACTAAATAACAGAATAAATTATTAGGACAATAACCCGCAAATGTTAAGATACAGACAATACAGTACAGAGAAGATAATAAGCAGACATAATAAAAATAAGTTTTAATATTAACAACGCAATTTCATGCATAATAATCTTTCTTTTTGCAAAGTTCAAACAATGTTCAAGCCATGTGCTGTTTACATAGATGGACTTATTCTCCTTTCTTCTGCACTGATGGCATGGCTTCTGCTTTAACTCTATTTCGTTTTCTTTTTCTTCTTTTCTTCTTTTCAGCAGAAGGATCCTGACCCTCCTGTGTTTTCTTCTTTTTTTTCTTCAGACAGCTGAGTGGATTGGGGCCACCTGCCCTTTTGCGTTTTCTCCTCTTTTCACCTTCTTGCTTTGCTAGTCCTTCTTTTTCTTTAAGCTCCACAATACTTTGTTTTTGGTACTCTGGAACAAGCTGATTTGTCTGCAACTTTTGAACAAATGCCAAAGATTTAGGAGAAGGTTTGTCTAACACCATTGTGTTTTGAATAATAAAGAGGAGAGGAACACCAGGCTTCTTTTTCACTTTGTTTGATAAGTCCTGGTCCTGCAAAATTAAATACTTTAGTCAACATTTGGGGATTAAATTATATTTGCAATTCAAATGCACCTACTTTTAATACAAAACTATGAAGATAAATTACATTACGAAAAAGATAAGAAACTTAATTCTTATGACAAAGATAAGAAACTAGCAGATTTACATGGCAGTGCCTTTCACAGCAATTTAAACTTCAGTTTCTCTCCTAATGAGCTGTACTTGTGATGGAAAATTATCAACATTTCCTTTTTACCCACCTATATATGCACACATGCATTATTTGAGGAAAAAGTCCCAGTTCACTGGTATGCAGACCAACACTCCACAAGAAGTAACATAACTTCTTCTGTCACAAACCATCTTAAATTCTTTTATCTTACATAACTAAAAGAATTCTACTATAAACCTTTCAATATATATTGTGTATCATATATGCATACAGTCTCAATAACAAACCCAGGAAAAAATGCCTTTCTCATTTGTACAGTTATTTATTCTGTAGTCCAAAATTTCTTAAAATTGAAGTTATACGGATGTTTGACACTTAATTTCACCTTTCAGACTACTGTGAAAACAGTTCAGGGAATGGAATGCACACAAAGCAATATGCAAATTAGCATCAATGAGTTGTTTTCTTACATCAATAGGTAGTATGTTTTCTACATGTTCTGCTAAACTAAGCAATATACTTATAAGGTAAAAAAATCTAGTCGTTCAAGTAAGAGAAAAGATTCCCTGCTTCATAATTAGCAAATACATTTAAGAGTGAGTAACGTTTTACATTATTAATTCCCACAAATGAGGTAAAAATCTTATAACTGAGGTTAGTGGAGGCTTCCTTATCTTTAGGTATCAAAGCATCACTTGAAATGAAATGGAGTTAATGTTTCCCACGAGCTTTTACCTGTGTAGCAATAAAGAAGTGATGAGGGTTGCCGTCTACAATCATAGAAAGTAAACAGGTGGAACCACTCACGGGATCCTTGTGGTGAGAACAGTTTCGAACTTGAAATCTCTGGGCAATTAATTTTGCTCCATACAGTGCTTTCCCCAATGATTCCAGTTCTTTTATAACACATCTGAAAACCAAAAGAAACAATGATTTCAAAACGAAAAAATAAAGTCACATTTTTTTATAACAGTAAATGGCTGACATGAGTTATTTAAGAATGAGCAACGCCCAGTTGTTCAGGCTCTATGATTTGTAAATGGTACCCAGAAATCTGAAAGCAGTAGCCCATCTGAAGATATCAGCAAGGTTTCCTTGGTTGTCAACACGATTAATCAGTAATAACTTTAAATTATAATAAACGATTTAAAAATATTTCGCATCAGTGAATATACTGAGTCCTTAAAATTATGTTTGGATATCACCTAGCAGATGAACTACTACTTAATAAATATTTTTTTAAAATTAATTTATTATTATTAAATTTTAAAATTTAATTTATATTAAAAAATGGAAATAAAGAAGATCTGGGGAACAACATGCCAGTCAGTTTCACCTCTGTGCCTGGCAAGATCATGGAGCAGATCCTCCCAGAAAATATACAAAGGCACATGGAAAACAAGGACTTGTTACAATTAACATGGTTTCATTAAAAATAAATTGTGAAAAATATGGTGACCCTCTATGACAGGGTTACAGTGCTGATGGATAAGGGAAGGGTGACAGATTCAGCTGCCCTAAGTGAGAGATGGTCAAAAAGACCAACAGATACTGCTGAAAGAAGAAGTGGCATTTAGGCAGGACTGGAATACAGTTTGGATTAAAGCCATTCCTGAACCTCTCACAGCTAAGGACACGACTGGATACTTTATACTGTTTAGAAGTACGGGCCAGTTCTGTACGCTGTGCAAGATGGCTCAGTGTGTTTTTTGAGCCTAGGTATACATCTTCCTGGTATTTTCACTACTTGCCTCCATGATGGGCAGTTGACTATTCCCTCACTGCAGAAATAGAAGTGAGGGAAAATTTATTATATACTATATAATCAAGCAAAAAAAAAAGTAACTTCGATATGCAGTGTTTGTGCTTTACTTCCACATCTTTCTCTAGCACATCCTTGTCCTCCCCCGAGAACAGCTACTTTAGAAACAATCCCGCCCTGGCAGGCTGCAGCTCCAGCCAGGCAGTAATTCTCTCCCTGCCCAGGACATATCAGCTTGCCTTTGCTGTTCCCACTTCGCCAAGAACACGCTGGCGATGGGAGGAGACCCACCCGGTCCTCCTTCGCACACCGGGGTTACCGCTGGCCCCGCAGTTCCCGCTACCTTCGGAAAGGCAGCTGGGTCTCAGAGAAGCTGCCACCGTCCCGCATGTTCCCCACAGCCCCAGCGCCGCCTGCTCCCCGCTCGCCCCGTACCGCGTGGTGCAGAGCTGCGCGGCGCCGCCCAGGTACCCGGGCAGCTGCTCCCGGATCTGGATCTTGTTGCGGAGCGCGGCCTGGCAGAAGGTGCCGTCCAGCAGCACCTGGAAGGGCTCGCGGAACTGGAAGCTGTGCTTATAAAAGCCCATGATCTTCTTGGCGTGTTTCTGCCGCGTCACCCCCATGGTGCCCGCACCGCCCGGAACGGCCGCGCCTGCCCCGGAAGCTGCGCCGGGCCCGGGCGGGGCCTCCTGTCACCGCCGGAGAGCCGGGACCGGGCCGGGCAGCGCTGGGGGGTCACCCCCGG